TTTTTTACATGCTAATCGCAGATGTAAACTCTCCCTGCTTGAAAACGTTTCCTTGTAGGTACACGGCAGAGGGTCTAAATCTCATCTCGCTGAAACTTTGCAAAGAAGGGGTTATTCAACATGCCGATGACTAATATAACGCTTTTTCATATAAAAACGTCTACGTGTATGCTTACGATAGGCGGTAGGGGGACAAGATCTGCATTTTGCTGAAATTAGTTTTAGAGCGGATATCTGACATGCTAATCACGAAACGCACAAGATGAGTCGATAAGTGGGAAACGTCATAACAGTTGGGGTAGGGGGAAGGGGGAGGAGGAGACGAGGTTCCAACCAGTGTTTCAATCGTATTATATCACTCTCAGAAAAAACTTTGCTGACTTCTTAACATTTATTATAAGTCGCACTACGAAATCTTTTTGTTTTGAACTCGGATAATGAATTAAGTTTTGAAGGTCATCCCAAGCTTGGGCCCGCTGGAGTATTTCTTGTGCACACCTTCCAATCATCGCGTCCATCACGGAAGAAACCCATACTGTATTGATAGAAATTATGGTGCTGTGTTTATTATCTGGGATAGGTAAGCTGTACTATACTCAGAAGCAATCTTCAACATTTATACTTTGTATGCTATTTAGATTATTTGGAACTTACGCGTCAGAGCGTGAAGGTGAGAAAATAGCTTATGGTTTAGTGAAGCCTGTCGCAACTTTTGATCAACTATGGTGTCAGGTGAGGTATAGAATCCTTACATGGCCAGCCTTACATGCAACTTTCTTTAGTTTATGTTTCCTATTTCAGTTTTTTGAATTCAAAGCTCTCGTTTATGACAGGGCACAGATGAAGGACGAAATGGGAAGAGAAGTCTTTCCCGGATTTTGGAATAAGGTTGTTCTTAGCTATACAATGATCCCAAAATTTGCCGGCTATGAATATTTCATCTCCAATCAGTCACTTTTTTGAGTTGAGAATAGATGGATGATGTAAAAAAATTTTGATTCTTTTTAAGAGAGATATTGTGAACGTTCACCGTAGTGTGGTGTGCACTAAAAAGTAGCTTTGAAGTTTACAAACAGAAAAAAACTCGGTAAACGTGGACATTTATGATGGAATACGCTAATGCAGGCGCTCTGCAACGCTGAAACTTGTTCTGCTTTTCTTGCTTGCTGAGCGCAGTACTAGAAGAAGCTAAGGGTACTGCGGGACGAAGGCGCAGAAGCAGTATTAGTTGAGCGGGCGCGA